CTGTACTTTTGGTCATCAGAGTGTACACATAGTATACATATGTACATGGATCGTATTCAATAAATAAAAGCGTTAAAGTAATCAATAATAAAAGCACTTTTTATGCTCAATAACACTTAAATTTTTTTTATAATTTTTTGTTTTTTTTTTTTGTCCTCAACTAAATGCCAATTAAAATTCGTAATTATTTTTTAATGGCATTTTGTGGTCAATATCCGGCGAATGATTTCAAAAATCCCTTTGACGACTTCAATGCTCGCATATGATGTTCGCATTTACGACTGTGTGTGTGTGTGTGTGTATGTGGGTGTGTGTGACTGTGTGTGCATTGCCCACATGCACATGGACATGGCCGACGACGTTGAGCAAATGGCCAATGGTCGTATCAATATCAATTCCAATGTCCATGACTTGTCAAACTGGCGTCAGCAGCCCAGCAGAGAATGGGAGCCAAATTGCAAGCAATTGCACAACAACAACAACAACTACTACTACTACTACTACAACAACACGCCTTTGTACACGTGTAGGTACAAGAAAACGCAATAAGAAGCATTGCCGGAGGCCCTCGAGGCACTTGCTCAATGAAATTCTAGCAATCATCGGCGACGTCAACATTTTCGTTGAGAACATGCCGCAAGTGACAATCATTTATATTTAATAAACAACTAAACGCATGCAGCACACACAACGACACAGCGACACAAAGCAGCAGGAGGCGTGGCAAAACTAGAACCTCTCCTCCGACCCTACTCTACTATTCTCCGCGCCCGCAACCCATTTCTGATGATGACTGCTTTGTATGTTGTGGAAACGCCCCCGCGGCTAAAACGAGGACGACGATGACGACGCTGGCGATGACGATGACGACAGGTCCGAGACAATGGCCATCGTCTCGGTCGTGAAACGGTTTATCATGCATTTTGTGTTGTTGTAAATCGAATCGCCTGAATAATGCAGCAGGTACACGCAGCAACGGGTGGGGGGCGAGGCCGAAGGGGGTAGAGAGAAGCGTGTAGCAGTGGCAAAATGATCAGCGCCCCATAGAAAGCAAATAAATAAGCAAGCAAACGGGAGAAAGTTGCATACAACATGAGTGAAGGACGGCCAGATACCCTAGAAAAACAGTTGAAGTGGAGTGTTGCAAAGGAGCTAGAAAGCTGAATTCAAAAATCGAAAATATTTTGAAACGTTTTTATGGAAATTCCCCGAATTATTAAATTGATTTTTCATTTATTAAAAAATATGTTAATATTAAAATAAAATTATATTAAAATACTTTACCTCATTAAATATAAATATTAATCTGAATTTTCAGGTATTTGGCAATTCATTTATAATGCTCCATATTTTTTAATATTAACCTAAAATTAAAATACTTTACCTTACTAAATAAATTACTAATTATATTATGAATTTCCAGTTATTGGGCAATTTATATTTATTTATTTTTCAATATTACCCTACTTTATACTTTTCGATACTTGACACATCACAATGTTCAGTATAACCTCATTCGCACACTTTTACAGGATATCTTTCTGAATATAAGAAAACAGAAATAAAATGACTAGAATGTGCAGAAGGACACTGTTTCGCTTTGGGCGGCATTCAAATTGAATATTGAAAACTGCCAAACGCTTGAATTATGCATTAATGATGTGTCTCGCTCCGTTAAGGCGGGGGCGGTGCGCCAGCGTCGGCGTGGGTGTGGCAGGTGCCAGCTGAAGGGTTCATGCAGCAGAAAGGACAGCGAAAGAATCGTAAAGAATAGAAAAGCAAAGACAATGCAATGCGTCGCCGTCCTCGGCCCATCCATCGAACCACTATCCACTGGGCAGTGGCTGACATCGACTGCTTATTAATTTTTTATGCGTCTGCTATTTTTATGGTTGACATGAAAGCGCTTTGCCCCGAGCTCACTTCTTTTTTAGTGTTTTGTGTACATTTTGTGTACTACGGATAATAGATGGAAATTTGTTTGGCATTGAGCACTGCATTTGCGGTCAGTTTCCATTCTTATTTATTTTCCAATTACAGTTTCAGCATATTTTAAGAGATTGAGTTCTTTTCTATGCAGAAAAGAGCACACACACACACGCATATCAACGCGAAGGTATGAGCGTGCATGCATTAGTTATGACAAAATTGAGTTGATGAGTCGAGAGCACACACACACACTAGCATGCATGAGTGTGCTTGCATTCGTAAAGATAACTTAGCAAACATAATTTAAACATTTACGAAACACAAATTAAGACATGAATGCCGAAGAATTTCTTTTAACTATTTTACTTAAAAGGAAACACTTAATTATAAACACTAAGATCAAATCAAACTCACGCGCGTAAACATAAAGCCGCAACTAGATATGCTAATCTGTGCAGTCGTGTCACGCGCGTGCATTACAAATATCCCAAAAAGGTACATTTAACTATCGCAGTGTAGATATGTTAATGCTGCAGGTAATTTTTTAGTGAATTTATTAGTCAATTTAACATCATTAGTCATCTGAAAAAAATTAAGGGTACAAAAAGAAGTCAATATAATACTTCATTTAAATAAATACCCTGTTAAGCAATTCATTAAATTACTCAAGTGACAATTGACGGCCGTCTCTAGTTGACAATAAGTGTGTACATCATTAGCATTATTAATTAATCGGCGTATTGGAAATGCATATTAATTTCTATCGGAATGTCAGCGTTCGATCAATTGCTCAATATATATGTAACATACCTTGAATTTGCTCAATAAGAGTTTAATGCAATTATATACATACATAAGTACATATGTCTGCATGTATAGACATATTTAAGTACATCGGTGTGCAACTAAACGAGAGCGAACGTTGAAATCAGTTGACAAAAGACGTTAATTACCGGCATTAGCACACAAAGCCCCTGGCCAGCTTATCGGCTCCATAAATTGGGAGCCGACCAAAAATTGTCATGGAAAATATGTGTGCGTAAGTGTGTGTGCGTGCGTGTGTATGACCGCGTAAAACTCATTACATGCCACATGCCCGCCCCCACACCCACACACACAGTCACAGACACAGACACAGAATCCCCTCTGGTGACCACAAACATGCTGTAATGCGGGGTCTCTCTATCAACGTGGCCAACAATCGGGCACTGTGCGGGCATTTTGTGCACACCCAGAGCCGGAGTCTGCACCAGGTTGGATGGATGGCTTTAAACAATTTGGCTGAAACCAAAAATGCCAAAGCGCTAATCTGTCAGGAGAAAGAGCCCGGCCACTTAAGCAACTGAGCTGAAGTCGCGCCCGGATGAGCTAAAATATCATAATGATGCAAGATGATGAGCAACTGGAGTGTGTGGTGCAACAATAACGCACCACAAGAGCTTCTCATATCCTTTCAAATGGCAAAAATTTGTTGGCGCTTGACGGGCGGCTTCGCTTGACAGCGATGCGAACTCAAAGTCGGTGTCGGAGTCGGAGTCAGGCATCGGGAGTCGGGGGAGCAGGAGAAGATGTTGCCATTTGACGTTGTCTATGCCACCCGCACTAGAGAGACGACGACGCGCCTTATCAACTATGCAAGGCTTTGTCTAAATGATTGTCTGTCTCGCTCTTGCTCTCTCTGTTCCCCCTCTCACTCCCACTCTCTACCCTGTCTTGGCTGCAACCTGTTTTTCGCGGGTGTCTTTTGTTGCGCTTAATGAATTTTACGTACATTTTACGAGCGCTGATTTCCGCCAGAGAGCAACACCCACTGCCCCCATCCACCCCAGCGACCCCATCCCAAGCAACGCCCCAGCTATTAATCTACACTTTAGCGCAGAGGACCAAAGCACAACCCTCGCTCAGTAGTTGTGCGTGTGTGTGTCTGTGTGTGTGTGTGTGCTTATAATGACAAGTTCAACAACAACTTAGCATTGTCTTCGTGGAACGTGACGCCCTGACATTTGTTTGCTCAAGTTATGCAAATATTTTTACAGTCAAGAAGTTTTTGTTTAATTGCATATTTTGACTCGAATTACGCGTGTCATAAAGCAAGGATATGAAGCTTACTAAGTTTGGGGTTGCTGACAATTAACCTGCTGCTGCTACTGATGATGATGGACGGACAGAATTAGTTGACTGTCTACTTTCCTATATATAAAATTTGGCACTTAAATAATGTAGATTTTGAATAGCTGAGATTTTGGCGCCAATGTGTATTTTATTCTATTTCCAGTCATAGGGTGACACTGTACAACTATCGAAGCTGAAGCTTATCGGTATATTAGTATTGAATATACATTTACAGTATGCCACTGACCAGAGAACACATAGACTAGACATGTAGAACAAATTTTTCTACAGCAGAAAATGTTAAGTTGGYCGACCACTTTACTTCGTATTTGCTCGGCTCGGTCGCTGGAGGTTCGAGCAGTGAAAATATTGGACGACAAAAATAGTGCGCTGTGAGCGCTCAGACGAAATGGTCGTGATTATGTATGAAGCACATCTATGTGCCATTTGTCCTACTCTCTCTCTCTCAGTTCCTCTCTCTCGCTCTCTATGGTCGCTGAAATCATCACTCTCAGCGGCGCACAAAAATTGAAATTTTTGTTCGCGACGATCCCAGCTTTTTCCTTTTGAACGAAGGGTATACCTAAATCATAAAAGCGTTTGTAAGGCTCATGCAAACAAAATGTAGCGTTTNAAATTAGTTACTTGCGTTGCTAGTTGGGAAATGGTACTTACCCTGTGGATTTTTCAAAAGATATTTATCCATCCTTCCTCCGCCACCAACACCAACGAAAATTTACCTACAAATAAATACTTATTTTTATACTTAATTGCTTCTTATATATAAATAAATTTCTTACCAAAAAGAACCGCCGACTTGCGAAGTTGCGCCAAAGTAATTGATGTGCAACGCACGATATCATCTCTATCGATAGTATACAAAAACGATCGATATGGACGCAAAAATATACAAATTCGATAGATCGATAGTTCAATCGATAGCTTTACAGCACTAGTGCTTAGGCTAGGCCGCTAGGCGAACGCGATTCAAGATGACTTCCAGACTATGTCCTCGTAAATCTGGCGAACACATTGTGAAACATGCTAAATATATAAAAGTGCTGCCTGCCGGCATTGAGCGGCTTGCCAAGGAGATTGTCGACGGTGTGATTAGTAAGTTAATAGCAAAGATCTCAGCCATGTGCTCTTAAATTAAACAAACATTTCAGCGAAACGCATTGATGTCGCCAATTTCTCACAGCATGAGCTGCATCCCAAGGCCAGCGACGAGCACGCTGCAAATTGGATTTTCCTTGTGGACACGCTGAACTTTTGCTTCTGGACGCCACGTGAGTAGTGTATAAAAACATTTAAATTTCATTATAATATATTTACATTTAATACGTAGAAAACTATACTAAGTACAAGGTAAATGGCTACACCGGCTACTTTGCATTGTGTGCGGCCATTAATCGGGCCATGTCGGAGGGCTTGGACATAACGAACCCAGAGTTCTACTCCGAGATAGATCGGCAAACATTGTCCTCTATATTCCGGGCTGACGATGAGACCACAAAGATTCCACTGCTTGACAAGCGTTTGCTCTGCCTGCATCAGGTGGGCAAACGCCTGCTGACCAATTGGCAGGGTCGTTTTGAGAACGTGGTCAAGGCGGCCAACCATTCGGCCGTTGCTCTGCTGAAGCTGATTGTGGACGAGTTTCCCTGTTTCCGCGACGAGGCGATCTTTGCTGGCAAACGGGTGGCCCTATGGAAGCGCGCCCAGATCCTCGTCGGCGATCTGTGGTCCTGCTATCGTGGCCAGGGACTCGGCCAGTTTGACGATATCGAGATGGTAACCATGTTTGCGGATTATCGCGTACCGCAGGTTCTGGTGCACTTCGGCAGTCTGCAGTACTCGCCCGAGCTGCTCGAGGTGCTGCAGAAGGACACCATCCTGGAGAACGGCCACGCCATGGAAGTGGAGATACGTGGCGCCTCAATCCACATCATAGAGCAGGTCAAGGATGCTGTGCTGGCGCAACTGAAAGAACATCATCCCGATGTGGACACACGCAACGTCAACTCCATTCTCATCGATCAATATCTGTGGGACTACCGACGCGCCCACGCCGCCGAGCTGGAGCACATTCCATTCCACAAGGTGCTCAGCATCTACTACTGAAGCGAGATTAGGTTAAGCTGTCGACTGTAAGATCACGTTTGTATCAAGCATCACAATTTCATGCTTCCGTTGCGGTTCATCGACAACGCGCGCGGGTCAAGAGCACAATAAAGAAATAATCGACGCTTGAATGAGATAGCAGAGAGACGTCGAGTGGGGGCAAGTGACCGAGAATCAACTAAAGGGTTGCCCAGACTAGCTAAGACAGCCCCTGACATTATAGTCTGTCTGTCTATCTGTCTGTTTGTCTCTTTGTCGGCAAGCAGGTTGGCCTTTTAAATAGTTAACTCTGCTCACATATTTTCATGCCAAACAGCAGCTGGCTTTGTCTATTCGGATGCCATGCGAATTGATAAGCGACAATTAGTTTGGTTTTGTCTAAAATGCGGTCAGAAGTTTAATGTTACCCACGTTTTTTTCTGTTTGTTTTTTTTTTTTTTTTTTGCCTGGTTTGCTGGGGGTGTAAAAACCGACGTCGCTGTCGGCGCTGCGGCACAGTTGATGTCGGCTCTTTGGCTCGAACGGTTGTCGCGGTCTTCGCTCTTCGCTCTTTGCCCACGGCACAGATTTAAGGTTTCCTCCCAGAAAGAAAGAAAGTGAGTGAGTGAGAGTGGAGCTGTCTGAAATATGCAAATACCAATAGACGCGCTGATAAGATAAAAGGTGGGGGCGAGTGATAAGCGTGGATTAGTGTGTGGATGCTGCACTGCACCACAGTGAAAAGCCCAAATACAAGTTGTGAGCGAGCATTGAACTCGCCGAGTGAACTCAATTGAGTGCGGTAGCAATGCCAGCAGAGGAGCACGACGGCCTGTGCCTGGAGTGGAAGCAGCTCAACTACTATGTGCCCGCGCAGGAGCAGAGCAACTACAGTTTCTGGAACGAGTGCCGCAAGCGGCAGGAGCTGCGCATACTCCATGACGGTAAGCTATCCATGTGGGAGCTGGGCAAGTCGCCTTGCCCACTCCGTAGCCGAATCCAAATAACTGTGGCCATTGGCCTCCCCTCGTGCAGTCAGCGGTCACCTGAAAACGGGCGACCTCATCGCCATTCTGGGCGGCTCGGGGGCGGGCAAAACCACATTGCTGGCAGCGATTTCGCAACGGCTGCGTGGTAACCTAACCGGAGATGTGGTTTTGAACGGCATGGCCATGGAGCGGCATCAGATGACACGCATCTCCAGTTTTCTGCCACAGTTTGAGATCAATGTCAAAACCTTTACGGCCTACGAGCATCTCTACTTCATGGTAGGTCCTAGCAGAGCCACCTAAGCACAGTCCCAAAGTCAGCCTAATCTTCCTCCACCCTCCACTCCCCCAGTCCCATTTCAAGATGCATCGCCGCACGACCAAGGCGGAGAAGCGCCAGCGTGTCTCGGATCTGCTGCTGGCCGTGGGCCTGAGGGATTCGGCACACACGCGCATCCAGCAGCTGTCGGGGGGCGAGCGCAAGCGCTTGAGCCTGGCCGAGGAGCTCATCACAGATCCCATCTTTCTGTTCTGCGACGAGCCAACCACCGGCCTGGACAGCTTCAGTGCCTACTCAGTGATCAAGACGCTGCGCCATCTGTGCACCAGGCGGCGCATAGCGAAGCACTCGCTCACCCAGGTCTACGGCGAGGACTCGTTCTCCACGCCCAGCGAGGAGAGCACCAGCAGCAACTCCATCGAAATGGAAATCGTGGACAAGTCGCACGAGAGCCTGCTCCAGGCCATGAAGGAGCTGCCCACGCTCGGCGTGCTCAACAACAGCCCCAACGGCACGCACAAGAAGGCCGCCATCTGCTCCATCCACCAGCCCACGTCCGACATCTTCGAGCTCTTCACGCACATCATCCTCATGGACGGGGGTCGCATCATCTACCAGGGACGCACCGAGAAGGCGGCCAAGTTCTTCACAGAGTGAGTGTGAAACACGTGTGGCCCAGCTCCCCATCGGGACTCTCACGATCTCAGCTGTGATGCTGGGCTCTCTCATTGCGCATACATTGTAGGGTCTTTATGGCACGATCTCTATCTTATTTGAATAGGGGAGCATGAGTATTTTTATCACGTTTTTTATCTTGCGTGAAATGTTAATAAGAAACACGGAAATTACATTATTTAATAGACCTCTCTCCAAAGGGAAATATACATACATACATAGATAAGAAAGTAATCCGCATGCATTTCGAGACGCCAGACATACAATAAATACAGGGTATGCTTTTTGAGATAACAAATCAGACAAACAGAAGATTAATTAATGAAACAGGTGTTATAATGATATATTAATGATTGTAGTGATATATTTTATGCCTTTACAAAGTAGGGTATCTCTTAGTACATACTTGATTCCATGATAATGTAGAGTGCCTCTTATTCCATGGTTATGTAGGGTATCTCTAAGTATGGGGTATATTCAACCAAATACACTATTTCTTATAGAGGGTATCTTCTAGTACATACATTATTTTTTATGTAGGGTATCTTCTAGTGCATACAGTATTTTTTATGTAGGGTATCTGCTAGTAGGTATCATTTTCCGCACTTAGTATGGTACATACTCTACTTCCTGGATAGGCTTTCTTCTAGTCATACTAGACTTTCTTCCTTGTACAGGGTATCTTCTAGTACACACATTACTCTCTATATAGGGTATCTCCTGGTACCTGATAACATTCACTCACTTTACACCTCCTTCCCCCTTTCGCCCGTCCAGCATGGGCTTCACGCAGCCGCTGAACTGCAATCCCGCCGACTTCTACCTGAAGACCCTCGCCGACAGCCAGGGCACCGGGAATGCGGGCGAGCTGCTGCGCGCCAAGTACGAGCATGAGACGGACGGACTGTACAGCGGCAGCTGGTTGCTGGCGCGCAGCTACAGCGGGGACTATCTGAAGCACTTGCAGAACTTCAAGAAGATACGCTGGATATATCAGGTGTACCTGCTGATCATACGCTTCATGACCGAGGATCTGCGGAACATCAAGAGCGGGCTGATTGGATTCGGGTTCTTCATGATTACGGCGGTGACGCTCTCGCTGATGTACTCCGGCGTGGGCGGCCTGACGCAGCGCACGGTGCAGGATGTGGGCGGCTCCATCTTCATGCTGAGCAATGAGATGATCTTCACCTTCAGCTACGGCGTCACGTACATCTTTCCCGCCGCACTGCCCATCATCAGGCGCGAGGTGGGCGAGGGCACCTACAGCCTGTCCGCCTACTATGTGGCCCTGGTGCTCTCCTTTGTGCCGGTGGCCTTCTTCAAGGGCTACGTCTTCCTGTCCGTGATCTATGCATCCATCTACTACACGCGCGGCTTTCTGCTCTACGTGACAATGGGCTTCCTCATGAGTCTCTCGGCCATTGCGGCCGTCGGCTACGGCATCTTCCTTTCCAGCCTGTTTGAGACGGACAAAATGGCATCGGAGTGCGCGGCGCCCTTTGACCTAATCTTTCTCATCTTTGGCGGCACCTACATGAACGTGGACTCCGTGCCGCTGCTCAAGTACTTCTCGCTCTTCTTCTACTCCAACGAGGCGCTGATGTACAACTTCTGGATCGACATTGACAACATAGGTGGGTAGAGTCAATCATCTTTCGCCAGGTCTAGCTAAAACCCCGCCAAAACTCTCTCTCTCTCTCAGATTGCCCAGTTAATGAGGAGCATCCGTGCATTAAGACCGGCCTCGAGGTGCTGCAGCAGGCGTCCTTCCGCACCGCCGACTACACCTACTGGATGGACTGCGCCAGCCTCCTGCTCGTCGCCCTCGCCTTCCACATCGTCTCCTTCATGCTGGTGCGACGCTACATCAATCGCAGCGGTTACTATTGAGTTTAGCTTTTATTTTACACATTCTATATTCAGCTTACATTGTTTACAATTCATCATAGTATATTAGCGCATTCTATTCGTAGCGAGGCGTTCAAGTACCAGCCGAATAAAGGTCTAATCCTATACATATTCATACATAGCTCTAGTTACAATTTTCAATATCTTCGTTTTCTTCACTCTCTCCATATTGCATTTCATTTATCTGTGTATATTTAGATGTAAATACGTATGTAGTCGTCGTCGGTCTCTGCCTACCGCAATTGTATAATTAAATTAGGCTAGAACACAACCCGTGAAATATGGAACAACACACTCTGTTCGAAATAAATAGTTTTGCAAAAAAAAATTTAAAAAAACAAAGGAAACAAATTTAGCTATCGAAGGATATTTGGCGTTTCGCCTTGACGCCAGAGCCGCCGCTCGAGGCTGCGTTCGCCTGCAATTTGCGCGCTGAGCCGTTGCTGTTGCCACCGCCCCCGCCGCCAAAGTACGGGCTGATATTGCGCTGATCCTTGCCGGTGAAGTTCTTCTGGCCCGAGCGCCGCTGCTCGCAGTGCACGTTCTCGCGCAGCGCCAGCCCACCCAGATTGCTCTTGGACGAGCTGTTGTGCAGCGAGGGATTCGGCTGAATGGGTAGCTGCGGCGGCTGCTGCTTTTGTGGCTGCTGCTGCTGATTACAGAACAGATCCTCCGAGATGCGTTCCATGAAACTGGACTGCGTGGTCGAGTTGGATGCACCATTGCTCTGGCTCAGTTGACTGAAGCCGAACGAGTCCACCGAGTTCTCGCTGCCAAACAGATTCTGTATGGAGCCGCCAGCCTGGCTGCGCGTCAGCGACATCTGCGACAGCGACTGTGACTGGGTGGAGCTTTGCGACAAGAGAAGCTTCCGCTGGGCAAACTCCTCGGGTCCGATGTAGCCGGAGAGCCGCGTGGAGGACTGTCGTTTCGCTTCGCTCTCGTGACTGCGCGCATGCAAGTAGATGTCATCCGGCTGCTTGCCGGAAATCACGCTGAAGGCGTACTTCTTGGCCAGCCTACAAGTAAAGCAACTCCAATTATTCATTTACTCATTTTCCAAGAATGCCAAATACGCACCGCAGCAGTGTCTCGCTGTTGCTGGTCGTGTGCCCTTGGTGGAACTCCTGGAAGATGCGCTTGACAATGCGCGCCAGGTCCGCTGCGTATTGCCGGAAATTCTCGTGCTTGGCCGATATTTTCCTTTCCTGCAGCGCCTGCGACACGGCCCACAGCAGTTTCTATAACAAAAATATAAATGTACAGTTATATTCAACTATGTTTAGCTCCAGCTCTCGCCTCACCTTTCGCTGATTGTCCGTCATGGCGGTCTGCGGCGCTGCGCTCATCTCCGAATGGGCGCGCATCAATTTGCTGCCAGCTTTGGTTGTGCTGCTGCTCAAATTGCTGCTGCTGCCGCTGAATCCAAGACTTAGTCGACTGGCGCTGCCAAAGCCACCAGCTGGCTGCAAGCCGGCGGCCGTCTTGTACTGCGCTGCTGCTGTTGCTGCTGCCGTGGAGGAACCAGCTCCAATGCAAAAGCTCTGACTCTTTATTTTGAGGGCGCGAGGCGTTAGTCCGTGACTGCCCGAGCCGCTGGTGCGGAGCAGCTTCCGGCTCTGGCTGGCCAGCTCGGCGGCATCCTCGTCGTCGTCCTGAGCATTGCGTTTGCGCTTGAGCAGCGTGTCCAGCTGCTGGCTCACGCTCTCAGCACAGCCAGCGCCTGGCTGCTGGCTGCCACTGCCGTTGTCCGGCGAAAAGAGCGCACGCTTCGATCTCTCCACACGATTGGCGATCTCCGGCTTGAAGAGCGGCTTGGGCGGTATCAGTTGCTGTTGCAGTGACTTGGCCGGGCTCTGGAACAGTGCGCGTTTCGAGGTCTCGCGCGACGGGCCCGGCTTGATGAGATCGGTGCGGTAGAGGCGCTTTCGTGCTGAGGAGGTAGGCGTCTTGCGTGCTGGATATATACGATATACAAAATTAAGTGAATATTTTTATATTTATATAATTTTGAATACTTTTTTTACGCAGCATTGTAAATAAAAAAAAAATAAAAAAATAAAATAAATTGAACTATGTACAAATTAAATTAATTAAAAATAAATGTTTTAAAATATAACAAGCTAAAATATAATAAATTAATTCAATTAAAAATAAAGAAAACTTAAAAAAATAAATTGAACTATGTAAAAAATAAATATATTAAAAAGAAATGTTTTAAAATATAACAAGCTAAAATATAATAAATTCAATTAAAAATAAAGAAAACTTAAAAAAGGGTAAACAACAAAATATTTTTAATTAAATTAATTAAAATAAAATCCATAAAACTCAAATAAAACAATGGGTATAATAAATTATATATACAATATTCTTGCCCCAGCAATCCATTTCAGTCAGTCAGACCCTCATATCATTCATTATCTTGAATATAGACTATGTATATATGGAATCGCAAAAGCCTTTGTCTACTTGTCTTATAATACTTGAGCCTAATGCAGTTTTTTGGACCTTACCTTTCTTTTTGCTTCCGGGTGTTTTGCGTTTTGGAGTTGCTTTGCGTCTATTGCGCTCTTTTCTGTAAAATACATCGAGTTACTAATAGCACAGAAGGTTTATATGTGCAGCTACTCACTTTTTATCTAGTAGTATTTGTGGACCTATGGAACTGTTCAGTTTGATGGAGTTTGTGGCCAGATTGGCCGATGAAAAGATGGCGCGACGTTTGGCCAAATGACTGAGCCGATTGCCCGGCGATTGCGTAAGCATTCTGCATAAATAGTACATAGAAATTGGTTTAAAATAATATTATAATTGATATTTACTGCTGCGGCACTCACTTCATGCGCATGTTGCGCTTCTTGGCACTGGAGGGCGATCGCACATAGGACGTCGCCGTCTCTGCACCCACGTAACGCTCCACAACGGACAGACTGAGGTATTCGTTTTGTTCGGCCGCCTTGTTCAAATTGTAGCTGAGGAATTGTTAAAGGATCTCCGATTAGTTGGGAATGCAATTGGAAAATAGTTCAGTCAGAGCTCACCTTAGTCCATGCTGACGTACGCCCAGCACTTCGCGCCAGCTCATGCTCTGTGCCTCGGCCAGGCTGTGGGTGGGCTTGAGCAGTGAGGGCGTGGCACAGATGCCACTATCCTCAATGCTGGACGGCGTGGCTGCTGACAGGAAATTTAGCACATTCTCCTTCATATTCACCACCGTGCTGATCACATCGATGTCGGGCGTGGTCACGGTGGGCGGCGGGCGGACACCCTGCAGACAGCGACGTATGCGTCGATAGAGCTCACGCTCCCGCCTGCAATTCTCAATGAAGTGGGTGCGCGGATCGCTGCCCGCTAGCTGAGTGTCTTGCGTCTGCTCGTCCACAAAGCTGGACTCCGTGGGCGCGTTCAGAGAGTAACGTTCGCTGGCATTGTGGCTCGACGTTGGCGCCTCATTCGCGCATTGGCTCTCTTCCAGAGCCTCAGGCAAGTCTTCCAGAGTTGTGCCCAATCCTTTGTCGATTGGCTCATCGGCCTCATCTTCGTCGCTGTCAGCAAAGAGATCGGGCGAACGTTCGTTGTTCATTTTCTTGAGAATAAACGATTCCGACAGCTGCTGCGGCGCCTGCTGCTGTGGCACCGGCTCAGTTGGATTGCACGAGCTGCCAGACGCCTCAGTCAGACTCTTGATTTTGCCATCGAAGGACAGACTGTCTGTCGCTGTCTGTGCTATGGATGCTGCAGCTGACGTGGCTGGCATATCGACCGCATTGCAGCTGTCCTCCTCCAAGATGCTGTCGTAGAATCTGGGAAAGACGATCATGCCGGGCGACTGTCGCTTCGCTGCGATCAGCTTCTCCGGTTGCTTTTCTGGCTCCGGCAGTTGCAGGTGCTTCAGCTGCGAGCCGTACAGCTGTTTGTTCACTTGGCCATAGGGACTGTCGCCGAATCCTCGGAACTGCGACTCCTGGCTACTGTGGACACTCGATTTGTGGGCATTCTCTGTGCTCAGTGCCTTCGGATTCAGCATGTATGGAAGATTCATGTTCTCCTCGTCAGATATGTGACCCTCATTGTTTTCACTGAGCGAAGACTGTAAATTGGAAAAACGAATTTTAAGTAGATTTTGCTTTCACTTTAAATCGTAATTTAGTAATTTCGAAATTTCGCTCACCCCGCTGCCCGTGGACGGTTCCGATTCGTAGCTGTTGTTGATCTTGTGCACCGTATTGGAGTTAAGTGCAGCCATCCTTCAGCAGTTCAACTAAAATTACATACACTCAGTCACATTTGATCATTTCAACTTTTGATTTATAGCGCAGTTATTTTTGGATATTTTTGGTACAGGCGCCGCGCTTACAAGAAGTTGGAATGGGCGCAACATTTAGCAACTATTATATTATGCGGGCGTGCTAAAGTTATTTCTGTAGATTAAGCTCATTTGCTTTTGCTTAATTTGACCTACAATTGTGGGACTTGCATTTACCTTATGAAATGTGGCACTTTTTCTCAAAGCGATGCAGCGGCATCAGGCAAGAAAATGCGCGCGCATTATATGCAGTTTATTCGCACACCTTTAGAAGTTTTACAATTTGCACAATGATGATAAGGATGTGGATATTGTTATAGATAACTAGACTTCATTTTTAATCACTCTATTAATATAATAATTTAACATAAATGAATATTGTTTTTGTAAATTGCGTTGCGTGTGCGAACATCTGCCATTAAGAATTTGGCGGCGGCTCTTTGGAAGTATTGTATCGATACATCGATATGTTTGTAGCCGATATTTCATGGTATACTCGGAGATAGCGATGGAAATAATATTTCTGCATATTTATTTTTATATTTCTATAAAAGAGCGTATTCTAAAATGTTCATAACAAAACTATAATAAACTATTTAATGTAAATATTTCTATTTCAACAACGGAAGTATAAAATGCGTAATCGTATGACACGTGTAGCGAGTCACTGCTGTCACGAAGTACTCATTGTCTTGTAACTGAATACATATGTATTTAATTTATAAATATAAATGTGAAAGAAATAGAAATATACAAATACACCTTATTTCATATAACATATGACTAATAAATACCTGGCGTGAAACTGTCTGAGTATATTGTTTACCTGAGCGTTGCAGCCCTTGCGTAACAGCTGAGAGCAATAAGATCCACAAAACCACAATTCGCGATCCACAATTCTCAACGATGAATAACTGGAATATACAGCTGTTTCTGCCTCGATGTATCGAATACATCGATTAAATTGAGGAACAACAATAAAAAAAAAAAACACTTATCTGATTAATATTTGTAAAAGCAACAAGCACAGTTGTAAACAACGTAGCGAGCGTAAGTAAACGAATTGTGAGTGCTGCGACTCGCCTGCTCGGATAAGAAAGCTCAGTCAGCAAACAATAAACAACGGCGCTCTTTGTCGAGCCATTCGACGTTGACCACCTGCCAAAGTGCATCATTTTGCACTGTGTCATTAACAATAACAACAACAACAACGTCAAACACAATACATATCCAGAACCATCGCGACTTCGCAGAATCAGTGCATCATCTATTTACTCACCCAGTCAGCCATGCCATCCAACTGATTGCCATTGCCAATAAGATGCGTGGAATAGAGGGCAAAGTCGTTGTGCTAGGCTCGCGAGGTAAGCACCAAATGCAATTCAAACCAGTAGCATTTTTATTGACTCTGAACTTCAGCTACACGCAACGTCATCGTATGCGTAGCTCACCCGATTAATTCGTAGTTGAAAACAATTTCAGCAATCGCCCAGAGAGATAACACAAGGCAGAGCTTAAGTTTGTTTCTCTTTGTTTTTCTCTTCTTTTGCGCGCCCAATTCGATAAGCGCCCGCCCCTCGAACACTTTTGTTGGGGGAGTTTCGTTCGCGATTTCGTTCATCAACCCTAGAGAAATTGGGCCAGCCGCGGCTTGTGAGGTCTTAGCTGTTGCCCTGCGCCTCATTTCAAAGCTAGCGGGAGTTTTTGTTCGTCATTCTCTATGTTGCAGCATACCCCTTATGTGTTAGGTGCGCAGGGTAGTATAAAACTTATTATTTTATACATAAATCCGACTCTTTTTTATAAAAGACTCTTTTTTTTTCAAAAAAGAGCCTAGCAGCTGCATAAATAAAATATTGTTAAATTTTATCATATGCAAACTTCCAAAGCTCTTATATAACCGTCTTGCTTTCCAGGGTATTTCAAATTTATGCGTGCCTAATTTAGCTCTTTGCTTTGCTTCGCACACATTCGTAATTACCGTACAATTTTTTGTATATTCGCAAGGTCAGCAAGCCTATGAATTTGAGCCACATGTTCATACACACACACATACATACTTAGGCAAGCATATGTATGCATATTGATAGTAGCTGTATGTATGCATGTGTGTGTGTGTGTGTGTACTTTGAATGCGTGCTCATATCTTACGACGACATTCGCCATTCTCAATTTGAAATCAGTCGCGTACTTTTTGTTTTAAATCCGTTTTTTTTTTTTTATATTTTTTTTGCTTCGTCTATAAGATGAGTCAGTCGTGCGATATCTTAAGGGGTTTTTCATAATAGGAATGTCTCATTTAATGCATAACAAAGCGGCGCCTGTTTATAAACGCACATAGAATGCTGGAGACATATTTACATGCATACATATATGTACATATGTATGTATATATGTATGTGTTTATATACAATACAGTTGCCGTTCGCTTATCGCATGTTTACCGCTAGCTGCGTCTCAGTAACACCTTTTGTTTATTGAACCTACTTTGTTTATGCATCTGATAAGTAATATCGCTCATTTCCTTATGCCAAAAAACAATAAAGTAAACAAATCGAGCTCTATCAATATATTAAATATATTAAATGTCAGATTATATTTRTTCAGTTTCAAAGAAAAATTACCAAATGGGCAAATACTTGTGGCTTATGGCAGCAGCTTCCATATTATACAGATTAGTTACTTGATATTTCTGTTTATCTTATATATCATAATTATAGAACATTAGTGATTAGATAATATAGCCAATATCTGGGTATATTCAAAGTAGATATACGACTATTATTAAATATACGAATAATTAATTTATGAATACAAACTGTTTATCTACCATAATTATGGAGTCTCAGTCAGATGAGCTATATGCAAATAATCCTAACTACACTTTTAAAATTACACATTTCAAGTAAATGAAAATTTCTATTTTACATTTAGCAATCAAAAACATTCCTTGTCAGTCTCTTTTATACTAATTTATATCAAATCTCTTGTTTACCTTCTGTCACCTTTACCTTCTGATATCGGAACTCTCTCTTTCATATAGTCTGTATTTTGTGAATTGAATCTGAAAATCTCTCCTCTCCTTTGCAGGTGTTGGCAAATCTCGTTTGGTCATCAAGTATATTAAAAATGCTCTGCATCGCAGCGAGGAGCCGACGATAGCTGTCTCCTTTTTCACCTGCAACATCATGTTGGATGATGTTAAAATCAAATTACAGGTGAGCACAACAAGTTCCATTTGTACAAGCGCCACGACTAATCAGAGCTTCTACTGCCAGCGACACTTTGTTTTGGATGTCATCTGAGTTATTCTTAGTCAGCGGGGATTTTACTATGATGCTTTGCTATACCCTGTCATCCGAAAGGGGTATTTTGATTGAGTTGAAATAGTTTTGTTATAGATTAGTTTCTGTTTATATTTCTCGTTTTAAATTATGGAATGTTTCTTTGCCTATATTCTCTCTGTGTTTTCCCTCGAGTACCTTGAATTGCTTTATCAATATATTATATCTTTCAAGTGCATCACCATACAGGGTATTCGTCCAGCATGCACGCCCGCCCAGCAACTCTTTTTGGGTCCCCTTTTTATTTGCAATTTCTTCGTCCAGTGCACTTTCTGTTTATTTGGCTTTTACTTTTTCGATGGTCGTTCGCGTTTTCCTTCTCTTTTATAGTTTATTGATAAGCTAAATTTGTTTTCCCCCTTAAGCTGGGACTGCATTCCTAACCAACCTACCCCCACCTTCAGCGGCCGCTCGTATATTCCTTGGCGCTATTTCGATTTCGTTTTCGTTTTTTATATACCATGCAGGACAGCAGCAGGAGCAGCAGGAGCAGCTATAATGGCAAATAGTTTTCGCTGCCACAGATTTTTAGCCCTTTGTTTTTGGCTGCGTTCTGGTCATGTCGTTGCCCCACAACAATTTTTATGAAGATTTGAATTGTGCACCATAAAGATGAGCACACACACACACGCACACAATATGATTGTTATTATTGTGGGAAAGCGAAAAGCATAAAGACCGAAATTGCAGAATAAACGCAGAATGGCTCAATTAAAGTTCAAGTCGTTTGGAGTGCTGAATGCTGAACGCTGAACGCTGAATGCTGAATGCTGAATGCTGAATGCCGATTGTTGCGAGAGTCGAAGCTGCTGAGTTGAGTGTGTGTCGTGGTCACAATGAATTTTTGCAACATCCGTTGATTGAGTGCTCATCCCTTTTCCCTCCTCCACAGATCTGGGATACCGCTGGACAGGAGCGCTTCAGGGCCGTTGCACCCATGTATTATCGGAATGCGAATGCTGCCATTTTAGTGTTCGATCTGACACAGTATAAGACATTTACCGAAATCAAATCATGGATCCAGGAGCTGCATCGCAATGTCCAGGACCCGATGATACTGACGCTGGTGGGCAACAAAATGGATCTGCAGTCACAGCGCGCCGTTTCGCGCGATGAGGCCTATCTGTTTGCCAGCTCGATTGGCGCCACCTACTTTGAGACATCCACCGAAACGGACCAGGGCCTGGAGCAGGTGTTCCTCTCGACGGCCCTGGGTCTGGTGCGCCTGGCCGACGAGGGCAAGAGCCATTCGCTGCGCTCCTTTGAGTCGACCGACTCGCTCTTCTACACCAACGGCAACACGGCCTTCAGCTATACGGCCGCCGCGGTGGTGCGCAACGAGGATGGCGCTGCATTTCGTCTGCCCTATGTGCATATTGGAATACCAGTGGATGGGCAGGATGTGAAGGCGACGGGCGAGGGGCGTCTGGAGACGCCCTCGTGGGCGATCGAGCACATTGCCCTCGGCGAAGTGGAGAGGGCGCGCTGGTGCTGCTACTGAATAGCAACCAGACAGAGCCAGAACCAGAGCCAGAGACCTGTCAACGATTTTCTCAAAACATTGTGATGTTAATTAAACAGGTTTACCTTTAGTTATGCACCTGCACTCAAATTCGAATCGGCTAAAGCAATCGAAGCCAAATAGAAGACCACCCGTTAACACAAGAAACAAACAAAGAAACAAGCAACAAGCAAATGAAACTGATAGATTTACCGAGCACTGCGGGCACAGCCCGCCAGCGGGTGGCAACGCAATCAATTGACACATCCAAATCGTGGCTGCTAGTCGTAAGCTAATTGTAAGCTTAGTTAATAAGTCTAACCAGCAAATGCCTAATGTATATTTTATTTATGAATATTAACAAGCAGCAGCGTCGCTTAAAGCTCACTTGACTCCAAAAGTCGCTAATGTTATTCATTCACACACACACACACACACACACACACACACACACACACACACGCCGGCCGTCTCGGTTGGCTGTAATCACAATTCATGTACAAACACACTTTATACAACAACAAATATATATATATATATACGAGTTTATATTATATATCCATATACATTGACATATAAAAGGTGTGCATAATGTGTCATTTGTCCACGCCCATAAAGCATTAAAGCCCACATTGCTACGGCTCCTGCGTATGCATTAACTTGGTCATTAACGCAAAAAGTTGTCGTATAATTGGAATTTAATGTGCCAGCCAGAGGCCAAGGGTTACAATTAAGATGCCAGGCTGTAGTCTAAGCAGGCAGTCCATAAAGCTCTGGCTCTGGCTCTGGCTCTGCGARGAGAATGCGTCCATTTGGAGCTAATATACAAAACTTATGGTCAGTTGATTTCTTATGTATAAGTAATACGCGCAATTTAGCGTAAGAAGTCCACGGAATAGCTACAACAACAACAATGCCAAAGGACCAAAAACTCATTCAAGTGTCATCAGCACATTTACAGGAGCGCTGGACTCAAGCCTGAGACCGATGTTGCCGATGCTGTTGATGCTCTTGATGATGCTGATGCTGTCACAGCTTGCTTGTGGTCACACAACGAGTGAGAGAGAGAGAGAGAGAGAGCATTGGACAGTGCATTGATTTGCCATTAGGCAGCAAATGAGTTTACTTGACACCCAAAAGCAGTTGGGTCTCCACTTGTTGTCTGTCTCTACGCTGGTGCGTTCAACCGGAAGCGATGCTCAAATCTGCACACACACACCCATGCAAACACGCATAGTCTTAGACCCATGCATAGATTGACGCCAATGGCATACGCTGCTTGAGGCCCCAAAGTCTTTGGCTTGCGGCAAGCTGGCACGCATCACGCATACCACAAAACAGACCACAATACACACACACACACACACACATAGATTGACATGACTGCTAATGGCGCTTAGTTTGCTGACTTAATGATCTAGAAATGCATCAATGTAATCAAGGTAAAGCAGCCAGTCGCCTGCAGCTCTTCCAGTCGGAATTCGTTTGCCTGCGACTCTTAACATTTGCAGTTGGTTTAACCGCACTGAATTCCATGCAAATTGCTTATTTTATTAACACAGTTGCTGCCCTGGCGACAACAGACCAAAATACCGGCTGAAATCATCATCGCTAGGCGATTTGTAGCATAGGCCACAAATGATTAGGAAGGACAAAATATTGAAGCGATTCTTAAGGGGAAAGTATAATTAGGTTTTGTAAGACAAGACAGATAAGACTTAATGTATGCAGTAGCCGACGAGCAGATACACTGAGAAGCTAAGAGCTTGATAATGTATAGGTCATTCAGTTATTGCGCTGAGATTAACTTGGACAGATATCAATGCGAATGACTAATTCCCACCTCTATCCGCATGGAAATTGATCAATCACATATATAGTTATACCCTGTCTTAAAACTAATTTGTATTCTATTTGACAAATTGGCATTTCTAATATTTCAATTTTCACACAATCCGCCTTTAAGCCTTTGTAAGACCCACTTTGCCTATCGACTGACTGGGCAACAGAATTTTGACAACAAATTAAATTTACAAAACATAAAACACATTCACAAAATGTGCACATAAGCACTTTACATGGTGAATAATCAAATCTCATGCGACTCACGTAATAATACCCTGTCTGAAAATCAAATGAGGAGAAGGGTTGCATGAGTGCAGTAAAAAGGTTTGTAATTTGTATGATGATAATGATAAGATATTATATAGAGAGAGGTTAACATAATAAATAATATTTAAGAGCTGCTCACGACTATATTGAGTAAATAGATATTACCTATATATATTCGTAATGGAAGAAGAAATTTATTTGTTGGCACTCGAAGTGCGACCTATGCTAGATATAAATTTATATAATTTATATATAT